GAGGAGGAGCTAATCAAAGGCCAAGGAAGATGGCTGAAGCAGGGGCTTATATAGTGAGGCAAGTGGGCGGATGGGCGGACCAAAAGTTATTAAAATTAGTTAGTTAACTACAAATTAGCTGTAAGTTAAGAAAACTGGCCAAACACAGTTGATATGATCGACTTCACCTTCTTCATATAATCTAGAATAGCTTGCAGCCACTTCGTGGCCTTAGCCATTCTGACAATTATTTCTAAACCGGTTCCAAACCGCTTTAAGGGCATAGTGTAAACAGGGCTATAATGTGTCATTTAATGGAGGGCAGTAGATATATCTTTGCCAATGGAGGGTGTCTATTTGAGCCCAGGAACCACTTGAGGGCAGTGTGTGTGTGTGTGTGTGTTCTGTATATTATTTTTATTATTTTTAGGTGAATGGACTTCACCAACTGTCACTGGAGACAGACCACCTCCTATTAATGACTTCACTTTAACATCAATAATTAATACCACTGCTATATTGTTTGGTGGTTATTTTGGTGATCTGAGATGGAGTAATGATGTATATGTATTTGAATTTACTGATACATCAGTGGTGAGTGTATTATTAGTATAATTGTATTAAAGGAGCACGGACACGGAAGCGCGTCATCTTGATTTTTAGACCAAATAATCAAGATGACGTAGGTTTCAGCTCACGTGAGAGTGACAAAATGGCGACCGTCAAAGCTCACCTACAAAGAAATAATGCTGGACTGGAGGCTTGGTACTAAGCATCATAATGCTAGAAATCCTTCAGTAAGTGTATGTATGAAAAGGAGTCACGGTGGAGACACTTACAATTGAAGATCCAGAATCCATTGTATCACATGGCTCGCAATGCCACACCCTTTGTTGGTCCGTATTCTTGCTTGCGCACGTGAAGCCATAGCATGCATGCGCTTCTGTGTCCGTGCTCCTTTAATTACCTTAGGCTTAGGGTGTGTATTAATTGTGACTTGCAGGTGTACTTTAAAACCCTAATTTAACCAGTGACTAATAATAGCTACATGTACTTGTGTAAACAATGAGGGAGGGCCTTAGTAGTGGGGTAGAGTTACATGTATGCTCTTAAATGGATACCATACAGGTTGTAAATTTTGAGGGTACAGAATTTCATGTTTTTTGGTGAAAAGGTCTTAATTTTTGATTTCTTAAAAATAACTGTTTCAATATTGCACTGTTTTCAATTAAAAAAAGCATTCGGTTTCCATGGTTTTCAATTATTACTGCATGCGAATACATGTATATAGTCCTACAGTATTTATCCTAAAGTATTAGTTAATGTATTGTGTGTGTTTTATGATAATTAAATATTTTATTGTTTTAGAAATGTAAAAGGTTTTCTAATCCTGGAGGATCAGTACAGTGGCCTAAGGAGAGAAATTGTCATTCCAGTGTATTGATCAACTGTAGCTCAGGACCACACCTACTAGTGGTGGGTGGATTGGGTACCAGTGACTGTTGGTTGTTAAATATAAACAAAATGGAATGGAAAGAACTGGTAAGTATTATAATATAATTGTGGTGAGCATGAGTGAGTCCTACTAGTACGAGACCACTGTGATCTGTCTGTCTGTACATGTACGTCACTCCTCAATGATAATCAATTTAATACAGTACAACTGGTCAGTATAGACATGTGCATATGATAAAGAAATGAAAGGTTATGTTATGAGTAGTTTTAAAGAAAGAGCTCATGAAGCTTGCCTTTGTTGTGATT